TCAGCTTTCTTTATAGTCCAACTCTTACATCCATACATGACTACTGGGAAAACCATAGCTTTGACCAGACGGACCTTTTTTGGCAAAGTAATGTCTCTGCTTTTTAATAAGCTGTCTAGGTTGGTCATAATTTTTCTTCCAAGGAACCAGCGTCATTTAATTTCATGGCTGCAGTCACCATCTGCAGTGATTTTGGAGCCCCCCAAAATAAAAGTCTGCCACTGTTTCCACTGTTTCTCCATTCTATTTGCCATGAAGTGGTGGACCGGATGCCATGATCTTAGTTTTCTGAATGTTGAGTTTTAAGCCAACTTTTTCACTCTCCTCTTTCACTTTAATCAAGAGGCTCTTTAGTTCACCAAAGATACATAGTCCAGATCTACGTGTTTGAAGGAAACAGCAGGTCACCATTACCCCTCACAGAATTAGGAAAACAATACTATCCTTTAAGGAGTTACACCACTGGCATGGTCAAGCAGACATTCCTCTTTGTACAGATGCACATTGTACATTATAGAGGGCCCTGTCAGACAGGAACTACGTTATGTTCAAACTTTCTTGTGCAGCCTGAAAAACTTAAATCCTATTCCATCATAGAGTATATGAAATAATCAAATTCATAGAAACAAGTAGAATGATGATTACAATTTTATGGGAGTGAGGTAAAAATGACAGCTATTTAATGGGTACAGAATTTCAATTTTGCAAGATAAGGGTTCTAGAGATCTGTTCCACAGCAATATGAATATTCCTAAAACTACTGAACAGTACATTTACAATGTACATTGTAACAGTACATTTACAATGGTTAAGACTTTTTTTTTTGCAATAAATAAATAAATATTCCTTAAAAAACCAGTTGGCTATAAATGTATGGGTTGATTTCTGGATTCTCAATTGCATTATATGTCCATCTTTATGCCACTACCATATCATGTTGGTTACTATAGCTTTATACTAAGTTTTTAATTGAGGAAATCTGAGTTCTCCACCTTTGTTCTTCTTTTTTAAGATTTTTGTTTGTTTGTTCATATTGCAATTTGGTATGAATTTGAAGAATGGCTTTTTCTTTTCTGTAAAAAAAAGTTGTTGGAATTTTGATAGATATGAAATTGAATCTGTAGATCACTTTGGATAGTATTAACATCTTAACAGTATTAAGTCTTCCTATTTAGGAACTTGGAATTTCTTTCCACTTATTTGAGTCTTCTTTAATTTCTGTCAGCAATGTTTTGTAGATTTCAGTGTACAAGTCTTTCATTTCATTGGTTAAATCCATTCGTGGGTATTTTATTCCTTATGTGCTATTATAATTGAAGTTGCTTTCATAATTTTCTTTTCGGTTTGTTCATTGCTGATATAGAAACACAACTGACTTTGTATGCTGATCTTATACTCTGCAACTTTGCTGAATTCATCCATCAGTTGTAGAAGTTTTCTTGTGATCCTGTCATGATATTGCCATCTATAAATAGAGACAGTATTACTTCTATCTTTTCCATTTGAATGGCTTCGATTATTTTTCTTGTCTAATTGCTTGAGAATGATGTTAGCTGTAGTTTTTTCCATAAATGTTCTTTATCATACTGAAGAAGGGCATGATATTTTAAGTGGTGAAATACAGTTTGCTTCTCACCTCACGTTCCATGAAATGGAGATATCTGTAATAAAAATGTATGAAGTTGGGTTAAAATAGGAATACTGTCATTTCAAGTGCTACCCTTTTATATCATTTATAAGAAATTGAAGGATACTAGAGCTGATGAGTTAACTGACTTCTCTAGTAAATTTCATAGAGAAATCAGACTGGTAATATGACATTCCTAGGAACCCTCTGACAGTAAACCACACTCATCTCATTTACAGTCAGACCTCCATACCTGCAGGTTCTGCAGCCACGGATTATAACAACTCCCTATCAAAAATATTCAGAAAAAATATTCCAAAAAGTTCCAAACAGGAAAACTTGAATTTACCATGCACCACCAACAATTTACATAGCATTTAGTTGTACTAGGTATTTAATCAAGAGATGATTTAAAAGTATACAAGAGAATGTGTGTAGGCTATAAGCAAATAACTATGCCACTTTATATGAGACTCAAGTATCCATGGACTTTGGCATCTGCTGGTGGTCCTGGAACATCATGGATGCAAAGAGACAACTGTATATCCACTCATCAATAGGCCTGTGTTGTAGTGGTTATAGTTTGGTCACTTTTGGACCTACTTTCTGTATTGGGTATTCCACATTTTTTTTAAGTATTTTTTTTTTAATTTCAGCTGGAGTTATCCATAATTTAGTTGAATTTTTAACTTCACTTTAAAAATCTTAGACTTGGTTTTATGCTCGTCAATATTGGTTAGGTCAGTCATATGAAATCAGTTACTAGGATGAAGTTTATCATTCTAAGAATAGCTTAGTCAAACCTTCACTTATTGATACTTTAACTTTTAATTTCTTGTCAAATTATGGAATGCTTCACAAATTTGCATGTCATCCTTGAGCAAGAGCCATGCTAATCATTTCCAACTTTAGTATGTGTGCTGCCAAGGCGAGCACTATTCTGCATTATTTATTCACAGTTTGTGAATCCAATTCACAGGGAGTTGGTGATGGACAGGGAGGCCTGGCATGCTGCGATTCACGAGGTCGCAAAGAGTCAGACACGACTGAGCGAATGAACTGAACTGAACTGAACTAAAAGCCAAACAAGTCAGGCACTCATTCCCAATTACCTTGCAAACAATTTTTAGCTAGTACACAATCATGTGTTTTATAAACTTCTTGGATATAACAAGCATCTTTTTCTGAAACAGAAAGCAGGAATCATGAGTAATACAAACAACTATTTTTATAAGGGAAGTCTCCAAGTAAATGAATACTTCCAATATTTCACCTAAGTTTTCAAAGTTTTCAAATATCTACAGGCTTTAATTTTCAAATAAACCAGCTTTCTTTCACCCGCCTAGTCTCTTACATTTTGACTATTTCAGGATAAAAATCAACGATCAAACAAGTAGAGTCATGAGTGGTCATAATGACAGAAATACATTGCCATGCATATATGAATCTTCATTATCATAGATCTTCATATCGATCATAGTTCATTAGTCCTGGGATCTGGGATATGTATATTCTTCTCTTGAGAGATAAGGAAATCCTGGAATATGGTGTTCCTGAGGCAGAATCAATCATTTGACTGGAATATAAACAACATAGGGTATAAATTTATTTCACTAGTTTAAAAAAATTAAATTTTAATTTTAATTCTATCCTATTCCATTTTATTCTTATACTTCTACTGCCATGGCTCCAGAACTACATTCCTTGGTACATAAAAAGCACTCATGATATACTCGTTGGAAGAATGGTGATTAAAAATTCCCTAAATGTCTAGGGGGAAAAAAAGTGGATAAATGAAATAGGATATATCTATCCTGTGGACTGATTTGCCACATTTAATTTCTAAGGAAAAAGATAGTGTTTACACGGAAAGAGCCCAAGATACATTACGTTAAAAAAAAAGTCAGAGAATGGTATACTTTGTATGACTGCATTTCTGTAAAAACAAAATATTTATATATTACATATACATGAATTCAGAGAAAATAGGAGTGTACAAAATATAATAAAATATTGTTGGTGGGTAGATTTGGAGGAGGAAGCTATAACTTTCATACTTTATTCAGGAGGTAAAACGGCACTCAATTTTGACTAGGAAACAAAACAATAATTATTAGATGCCAGCGAGGGTGTGATTTACAAAGAAATGTTTGAGAACTAGTTCATGACTTCTGAACATGGAGAGACCATGTTCAATATAAAATAAATAGATCTATATTAAAATCCATAAATTTATATATATTTATATAAGATTTATAGATCCATAAAATCCATAAATCTATATATCCTTCAATTTCTTATAAATAATATAGATCCATAGATCTCTATTAAAAGCAATAAAGATCCAATCGATCTATATTAAACATCTATATAAAATATCTTTGCAGACAGCAGTGTGCAGTGGTAAAGAATCGTCCCGCCACCGTAGGAAACTCAAGTGACGCGGATTCCAGCCCTGGGTGGGGAAGATCCCCTGGAATAGCAACCAGGGCAGGGCCTCTGTCCGGGACGAAGCGGAAGAGCAGCCAAGAGAAGCAGGCGGGGAACCGGGCCACGCCCACTTTTCTCTTCCAGCACCAAGGGGAAGGGAACTATCTGAGTCCCAAAACTCGCTATTTTAACATTTCCTCGCGCTGTTTCAGATAAACCAACCTCTTGTACTCTCCCGTCGTTATCAACCGTTCGCCCCAAATCTCGTGACTTCCGAAAATATCGCGACGTTTCAGCTATTACTATTTTCCTTAGCAGTCCCTGTGAGAAATTTTTTAAAGCCCGTTTTTAACACTATGTGTTGGTAAATTGCATATGCACATTGCTCTTCCCAAGATATTTTGTTTTAGAAATTAGGCGGTGGGGAAAAAAGCATGTGTCAGAAGTGGGATTCGAACCCACGCCTCCATACGGAGACCAGAATCCCCAAGGCGGGGAAGCTTCGCTTGAGTCTGGCGCCTTAGACCACTCGGCCATCCTGACACTTCATGAAAAGGAGAAAGATTTTCCACTAAAATAGATACAAAGATCAGCGTCTATGTGACGTATAGTCCAAGAAGTTAACTTCCGGGTCGAGAATAAAAGGCCACCCGTGGCTTGAAAAGGAAAAAGGTTTATGTTTCTGGAGGGAAGGAAAGAAGAACCGAACAACGTTTAGCCCAAGTCGCTTGGTGGGTTTTCCAACCTCTCATCTTTACCGAAACCTTGAGCGTGGTTTTTGCCCCAGGCTTGTTTATTTTTGAAGACAGTGAGGAACAACAAAAATCCAACAAAAGCCCCAGATTGTATGGCATAGACCATTTTATTGTCTCTTGTTTGATTCCTTTTCGTCCCCAGATCTGCCTTGCCACTGGAGAAGTGTTTGTTTTGGGCTCCGAAAGTGATGGCCGAGGAACAGCCTTGGAAAGTCCTTGTAGGGCGACAACTCCCGCCGATGCAAGACTTGAGACCAGTTTCTACGCAAGAGCTTGACCTGTTTCAGGTCCAGAGAAACTCAGTGACACTCTTGCTTCCCAACCTTCCTGGTCACTCTCAGATATTCCAGATTGAAAGTTTCCATGGCATCCATTGCCAGGTAGTAGATAAAATGGCGATTTTTAAGAGGGATGGCGGAGTGAAAATAAGGGGAACGTGCCACACTTCCTGACTCAGCCTTTTCCAGCTCTTCCTCAGCTTTGTGCAAAGTAATATAAGCTTTGAGTCTGGAAGGTCACATATTTTAATGAAACCTTGAAGGGTAAACAGTAAGAAATTATTCTTCCAACTAGGCTGAAAGCTAAATATTTTCAGATGTCCATAATTATTACCTTAAATTCTACACGTGGAATCACTAGATCTTTATCCAGTTTAGTATAATTGATTTACAATGTTTTGTTAGTTTCAGGTGTACAACTTAGTGATTCAGTTACATATATACATATAGCCATTCTTAAAGTTTATCCAGTTTTAAAAGCTTTTAATACACACTGCCCACCTACCTCCCCCAAATTTTGAAGCAATTTACAGTCATGTCTGACTCTGCGACCCCATGGACTGTAGCCCGCCAGGCCCCCCCTGTCCGTGGTTTTTCAGGCAAGAATACTGAAGTGGGCTGCAATTTCCTTCTCCAGAGGATCTTCTCGACCCAGGGATCGAACCCGAGTCTCCCACATTGCAGAAGATAACCCAGAGATGACCAACAGAATACCATGATTAAACGGTTAACAACAAAACATTTTGCTGGGTGACACAGTTTTATTAGAGAGGTTCAATATTCATGTTTCAAGGATTTTTATATTCTTCTGTAAATTGGTTACCCAACCTTTGAGGTGTTCATCCATCCTTGATTTGTGAAACTCATTTTACAAAAAATAAACCCTTCTGATAGTCTTTATTTACTAAGAACCCAAGAAGAAATTCCTTTTACTAACAACAATCCTATTAAGTCCCTTAAACACTACTTTCCATGTATAGAAACCATAGATATAAAACTCTAGTTTTATAGTGAGCTATAAATTTTACAAGGTTCTCATGTCAATCTTTAAAAACCAAACTGTGGCCCAAATTTAATGTCCTTATAATGTTACCGTGCTAACATTTACTTTTATTCCTGGTCATTTTTTAGTTCCATCATTTTCTTCCTTTATGGAATATTAAACTCCTGCTATTTTGATTTTATGCTTTAAATGACTTGAAGTACTTTCTGGAATAGGTAAGGTATAATTAAATATGTAAACAATTCTACACTTTATTAACAATATTTATTGTACAACATGGAGAAGGCAATGGTAGCCCACTCCAGTACTCTTGCCTGGAAAATTCCATGGACTGAGGAGCCTGGTAGGCTGCAGTCCATGGGGTCGCTAAGAGTCAGACACGACTGAGCGACTTCACTTGCACTTTTCACTTTCATGCATTGGAGAAGGAAATGGCAACCCATTCCAGTGTTCTTGCCTGGAAAATCCCAGGGATGGGGGAGCCTGGTGGGCTGCCATCTATGGGGTCGCACAGAGTCGGACACGACTGAAGCGACTTAGCAGCAGCAGCAGCATTGTGCAACAGGAGTTCCCAAAGGCCAGTGTACATTTTTTGAAAACACCTGTATGAAGGGTTTTGAAAGGCCTCAAAATTTAAAAGGGTGGGGCTTCCCTAGTGGTCTAGTAGTTAAGACTGTACTTCTACTGCGTAGGGCATAGGTTCCATCCCTGACAGGGGAACTAAGATCCCACATGCCTTGGGGCTCAACAACAAAAAAAAATTTTTAAAGAGTGGAGGGGACTAAAAAAAGATGACTGTGTTTGTTTATACCAATTTAAAAAACAGGATTTAATTTCCAACCTTGAAATTAATCTCTTGACTGTTTTATGTGGAAATGTACTTGAGGCAATACTGTCATATTTAAATACTGTTTGCACAATGTGAAATCTAAGCTATTAATGCTTTATTAGTATTCTAGTAAAGTCAGTTTCCCTAGAATAATCTACACTGGTTTGACTGAACTTTCTCATTATTCTTTGCAAAGACCTCACAAAGAAATTACTGGGTTAAAGGAGGTGAAAGAGTGTAGTGATTTAATTGCATAATCAAGTCAAAATTTATTGCAGGGCCATGTTAGTTTGTAGTAACCTGTCAACCTCAAGAAAAAGTGCACTAAGGAAGAAATGCAGATCTAGACTTTCAGTTTCTCCTGATCACCATGGTCGGCACTGAGGTCTCCTGAAATCACAGTGTTTCACTTATCCACAAATGGTCTTTTGTCTAATCCCACTTATTTCATGTTATTTTTTTCTCTTAATTGACTTTATTAATTTTTCCAAGGACAGAGTCAGGTTCTCTTGTATTCTCAACAGTCAAGTTCATCTGGGGCACCTAACACTGTTTAACTTTTTTTCTGAATCAGTGAATTGTCATTATGTATTTGTGAAGAAGCAACCCACAAATCATTGGTACAGTAAGAATCTTTCTAGTTTTATTTTGCTGGGAGATGTGTGATTTCCATCCATACTTTGGTCAGGATCACTGATGAAGATGTTAACAAATGGATCTATTTACTATATACTAGCTCTTGCTCTTACTTAGTGCTTTTAAGTGTTGCCTTTAAGGCAATTGTCACGTGCATTCTCTCATCTCATCAACTGCATATCCTAGATGGCAGTTCCCTTTCATTCTCTGAAACTTTCCCTTCTAGGCCTTGTCTGCTCTCGGGGAAGATGCTCTTCTGTACCCACCAGGTCAGTATCAGAAAAAACAAGAGCAGCTGAAGACAAACACAATTTTCCTGAGACAACAAATAAACAAAACAATGAGTGGTTGAAGTATGAATATGTAATTAACAACTTCAAATGTTCTGAGGAAAGGACCAGAGAGGAGCCAAAAGAACTGGACCCCATGTTTGCCTAAAGGGGTCCATATTGTGACCTGATGAATCCAAATGCTTACCTTTCTGCAGATCATTTGCAGAGTTCATTTAACTTCATTCAAAATACCTCTAAACCCACCACCCATAAGAATCATAAGATAAACAGTATAAAACATGTCAGTTCACACCCTTTTTCTCCCCACTATCCTCCACGTGGCCCACTGGTAACCACAAACCTTTTGTCCATATCATAGAAAGGGTAAAGTATAGTTTTTTTTTAGACTTTTTCTCATTCAGCATTGTTAGTAAGATTCAGTCTTGTATATCCCAGTTCAAATTGGAAGTAGCTTTGCTGAATCCAAAGAGGTTGCTTACTGCTGCTCCAGCTGCTGCTGTTAAAAATTCATTTAGATGCTGCTCCTATTAGCATTGAGTCTACTGGAGATAAAGCAGACCCAGTGTGAGACCTTTTGTTAGCCTAGAGACAGCTCCATCAGTCCTGCAGCAAGGATCAGGGAGTCTTTTCTAGGGGCACATTTTCTTGGGACTGGTACCAAGCAAGGTGCCCTCTTTATGGGTTCTTATTCTTCCTCCTTGTCCCAAAGGACTAGATTAAGTGAAACTGAAATGCGATTCTGACTGGGTCTCTTCACCCAGTTTTTCAGTTGTGAATTCTTGAATCTAGAGTAGACAGACTTACTGTTAAAGGCAGGTATCCCAGGTCAACAGACTGGCACCCCAAGGCCTCAGCCTCTACCTTTCCATGCAGAAAAGCATAATCCATAGATATTGTGAGGCAGGATATCACGTATGTGGACATGTATTTCACCTTGGTCTAAATCTGTGTAGTATATACACATCTTATATACATAATAATATATGTTAGCACATGTATTTATACTTATTGAGACTATTCAGCAAAAGCTAACCTAGCCTCATGGAAGCCCGTCTCTTCAGCTCCTGGTTATTTCTCTTAAAACCTTTTGAATAAATGAATCAAGACATATCACCAATGCATGATCTTCAGCCATGAACCACAATGTTGGGTACAAGACTAAGACCACAAAATCCTGTCGTCTTGAGGTCATTTCCAAAAGCAGAAAAGATTGAAAACCTCCTGGGAAAGAGCTGTCCTCTCAGCCTATTTTTCCTCCTTAGAATGTGGTGACCTCCATGACCCTAAGGGCTTAGGCTGCTGCTTCTGAGGTGGGAAGCAAGCTCTGGGTGCTCTGATCTATACCAAGCATTGCTGCATACCCCACTGTCAGTTATAATAAGGACTTGAGAGAACACTTTCCCAGAGAAGTGACAGGATCAGCCAATTCAAAGCTGTAGGCTGTGGAAGTCCAACACTACTTTCCAAGCACCAGTAGAAAGTAGTGACATGGTACTGTTTTATCATCTAGTTGAAGTAAAATATTGACCAGAATGAGATTCTCGACCCACAGAGGAAATCAACACCATTAACCATGCCTTTCCTCCTCCAGTATCTATGAACCCAATCCTACCAAGACCCAGAAAACAACAACAGTGTAAACAACATCCATACTCACTTTATTTTTAAACAGAGGAGCATGTACCCAAAGGAAGAGAAGACTAAGAACCATCATGGGGGCTTGCACTAAGTGATCTGCCTTGGCCTTCTGACCTCAGAATGCCTCATGATCCAATGGCCATGGGGATGGAATAGCCCCTTGTTGGTACACACATTGGAAAGGTAAACTCCCCCTTCCCTCGAAATAGAAGGGAGAAATGGAGACAAGTCAATGAATCCCCTGGAATATTGCCCCAGAATCCTTCCAGGGATAGGGTATGACTGACCATCAGTCCACAAATGGAAGTGGGAGGGGAGGTAGGAACAATGAGTGGTGCTGAGCAGTAAATAATCCCGGATGACACTTTTCATTAGAATGAAGGGAGCTGACAAAGCCCTCAAAAAGATAGAGGCAAAGAGCACATTGATTAGAACATTATCTCATAACAGAGGTGGGGCTATTTCCCACCATTACTGTAAAATAACTGTAACTAATCAAAACACATACAGGCCTCTTTAATGGAGTTAATAAAACTACAGCAGATTGAGAATCAAGGTTAGAGGTACTAATCCCAGAAGGAAAAACTGGGACAAAGGGATCCATGCTGACAGGACTTTATAGTCCAGCTGTGGGTTCTCAGAAAGAAGCCCTGGTTCAGAAATGACAGCAAATACCCATGATCACTATATGGGGCTGAGCCCAGGTGTAAATATCTTGAATGGCTCTCCTAACCCAAGATTATCCATATTCTTTATCCCCTCCAGTAATGTGTAAGACCAAGAAGTGTGGAACACTGGAGGTGGATATCTGGTTTTTATTTCTGGGCAATCTCGATAACTTATTACATCTCACAATTTTCATGGGAAGGGAGGGGATGGCAGAGAACACAGACATCCTGTCTTACACTGCAGGGCATGAAAAGTGGTAAGAACATCCAGCTGTGATGGGCAGGAAGTGGCAAGGCAACAAGATGCCTCATGCCTGGGGTGGGAGTACGGCCAGCAACCCTTCTGGCCCGAGTTCACCTCCTCAAGGGGAGGTCTCCATGGAATGACCATGATTCCCAACATGGCCAGAAAACCCATCGATGCCACTCATGGGGCAGATGATCAGAGGAGCTGCGCTCTTCCCTCCAGAGTAACTCAGACTGAAGTAGGGCCGGACAGGCCCACAGAAGGTAGCATGAGAGAAAGTAAAGGTGTGACACCTCTCTGTCACGTTGTAGAAGGAGACCTCGCCAGCATCATAGTCCAAGAAAATCCCCACCCGTTGGAGAGGGGTCCGCAGGGGGAGGGCAGTCATTGGGGAGGTGAGAGCCCAGTATTCTTTCCCATACCACAAGGACACTGCCCAGAATCCATTCTGGGGGGCCGAGGTTACCCCGCCTTTTCTGCACACCGAGTCTTCACAGACACCTATGGTCCACTTGGCTTTATCGCCCACCTCTACCTCCCAATAGTGTCTCCCAGCGATGAAGCAGGGAGAGCCTAGGACACAGGGAAACAGATTGAACCGCTCAGGGTTGTCGGGCAGATCCTGCTGGAGGTAACTGTACCGCACTTGCCGCAGGTTATCAGAGAGGATCAGGCTGGGATAGGCTGTGTCTGGGTCCAGAGTCACATCCACTGCAGAGAAACACAGGGGCAGAGGAGGATTAGCCGAGCACCAGGACAGCTCACTCTGAACACCCAGCTTTTCTCCTAGCCCTGAGAAGAGAGGAAGAGCTCTCCAGCAAAGACACATTCAATTTTATACATTCAAGTCCACCCTGAAGCTGACATTCCCAAAATTACTGTGTGGATTAGCTAGTTATCTTGTTTAGCTAGGATACATTGGAAGTACTGAAAATTTACTTCCACTTGCTTTTCCACATTTTAAACCACAATACCCATTATAAGCTGAATTTAAGGTTTTCTTATGTGTATGTCCAACCCCTTAATCTGAATGCCTCAGAGGCTGGAAGTTTCACAGAATACAGTATTTAGATAGACAGGGTGTGGTGTAGCACTCTACAACCAATATTAACATATGCTGTGAAACATACGGATATTCACATTTTGTCAGATAAAGACACTAAATAGTGCCACATGCATCTTACAATCATGTGATGGTTTCCAGTTTTAAAATCACTGACATATTCTCTCACTTGTTCTTCATATCTTGTTCAGAAGGAAGATTCCCTAACATTATCTCTCTGAACCATAGTTCAGGTAGGCTGACTGGTTTCCACAAAAGGCTCATGACAACTGATGGAGGTGACCAAGAACCTCAGAGGCATGGTTCTTGGTTCAACAATCTGTTCACAACAGTTGCCCATTTATTCCCTCATGTCATGGGTAGACCTCATACCTCCAACCAGACATTTAACTCCAAGGGTAGGGCAGTGCCTTATGCTCTTTGGTTCCCTCTACTGTACCCTGTGCAATATTAGGAAATGCAAGACATAAGCAACATATTCAATCTTGAAAGAATTAAATATGGATCACAACCAGGGGACATTAATGAAAGAAGACCCGCTGTTTGTAGAGTCTCTGTTCATGATGAAGAAGGAAATGGCAACTTGTTCCAGTGTTCTTGCCTGGAGAATCCCATGGACGGAAGAGCCCAGCGAGCCCCAGTCCATGGAGTCACACAAGAATCGGACACGACTGAGCAACTAACACACATATTTGTCCATGAAGAAGATCCCATGAAACAGGTGGTCATGTGAATACAAACCTCAGATGAATTTTGAGATCATAGATTTACCCAGTCTGTGAACCTCAGGTGAAGGTGATTGTCAAGGGGAGGGAGAGTTTCAACTCTAGATCTGAGACACAGAGAAGGTATGGTGCAAGATTTTTCCTAGACTTTCCCTAGCTCTCAGAATAAGAGGCAGGCTCAATCTTTTCGAAAGGATGCTTTTTGTAAACCACACACTGCCCAAGGCTGGGTGGGCACAGCAGTGGACCAGTGTACTAGCAGTGGTAGTGCACTAATTTTTGAAAACCGTAGTTTCAACTCTATAATCCTTCCTAGCACCTGAATTCAATTTCCTCCTATTTCATAGGTCCATGGTTTCAGACCTGAGGCATTTTAGGAAGCAAATATTATAAACACATAGAAATAACAAATTTTTTGTGATTATTATCATTAAAAAAAAAATAAATGTAACCTAAAGGATTCAAATCAAGGCACTTTCCAAAATCATTCACAATAGTAGTTAGGTTGATAGGGATTTTTACTCCTTTTTCCAAATGCTTTTGTCTCCTATCACCCACCTGAGTATAACTGGGCCTCTCTCAATTCTGAAAAAAAAAAAACAAGAGAGAAAAGAAGTTATGGAAGTTATCTGAGTATTTCTAGGAAGTACCCAACAGAAGGAGCTTTAGGAGTCATCATAAAGCCATGGTTTCCATTAGAACCCCTGCTGTCAGTCCTGCATTAATTTCTTCATATAGCATAAGACTCCATCTTCCAGCCAAGAGCTCAAAGGGAAGAGGGGCTGGGAACTTTGAGCACAAAGATAACACAAGCTCAACACTGGAAGCATATGGGGTCAAACTGAGGCAAGATTAAGGATTCCACTCCTCAGTGGGTCAGCTGGCTCTGCAGGGAGAGACATGGTTCTAAGTCCACATCATATATAACTCTTGGTTTTCATAAGCTACCTGTTCTAGGGGATGTGTGGTTCAAGTGACACCCACTACCAAGCTGGGGCAAACTACACCATTTGCAGCAAAATGCATTTACAGTTAACAAAGCATTTTCACAGGTATGTTCTCAATGGGCTGCTTAAGTGCAGGAGAAGAGCAGGAAAAATAAAGGAGAGTCAGATCAAGGAATGTCATGTCTGAGCTAACCACTTCTGGTATTAAGTGGAGTTTCTCCCTGTTCTGTTTGTGAGCATTCCCTAAATCTATGTTGCCAGATGTGAAAAATGTATGTATCTGAAAAGATGCCATGCAAATAAAGTTTTAGCACATATAGGAAATTATAAAAATTATGGGGATTTGTAATTTATAATAAATATGAAAAGTGATTACATACATATAAGGGTTTCGATTCTATCAGGCTGCCTAGGAATTTCAGCGTTTTGTACACAGTCATATGTGCTATGGCTTCCCTGGTGGCTCACTGGTAAAGAATCCACCTGCAGTGCAGGAGCTGCAGGTTCAATCCCTGGGTGGGGAAGATCCCTTGGAGAAGGGCACAGTAACCCACTCTTGTCCTGAGAACCCCAGGGACAGAGGAGCCTGGCGGGCAACAGTCCATCGGATCACAAAGAGTTGGATATGACTGAAGTGACTTAGCACACACACGTATGTGTTACATGTTTATAAGTTACCATGAGCAGAAGATGTTGTATTTGAAGAGTGCCCCTTAAATACCTAGAACACTTTAATGAATAAATATACATGAAGGCTCCATTCTAGAACACTTCAGAAATTATAAGTAAACCTCATCCTTACAGCCTTGTGAGGTAAGAGTTATTATCTTCCTCATTTGTAAAATGAGGAAGATACAGTATAGAATGCTTATCAGGTGGCAGAGGTAGGCCCAGGACCCAGGTAGCCAGACTCCTGAATCCCTGTTCCCTGTTCCTGCCCTCAAGGTGTTGCCTCAACCAACAATGTTCAATTCTTCCTCCTCCCGGTCAGTACCAGTGCCCACATGCAGCAGAAACTTGATAAATTATAACTACAAATGGAATATAGCTAGAATAGTTTCTCTTGATTCTCCTTCTCAATTAAAAATAATTTTTAAATAATCAAATCAGTTCTGCATTAATTGTTGGATTGTATATTTTTCTCTTCCATTAATGTAGATTGAGAAATGAGTGTATTTAGTTAAAAGACTTCAAATTGAAACAAGAGGCTATTAATTGAAAAAATTAACAAAGCCAAAAGAAAGATGTGAAACATCAGGGGAAGCCGGCCACTGAACATCACTCATTTCCTATTTTCCCACACTCTGGTGCAGATGTTTATCCTTCCAGGAAACTTCAACATCAAAAGCCCATTAAGTAGATAAATTTACCTTGGATTTTCTCCATATCTGACTGCATTTTTTCTATGGGGAGAAAAGAAGATATTCAGTTTGCATTCCATTATCTAGCTGGAAAACACTTCTTCTCAGGCAGTACAGTTATTCAGATCATAAACCCTCAGAGATCCCTCTTCTCACATTACCTGTGAACTGCTTCAGACTCTCAGTCAAGAACAGACACTTCTGAGCAAAAATGTGGATTTTCTCTTGCAGATCTGGAGGTGTGATCCAGGGTTCAGGAATCCTGATTCTTTCAGCCCTAAGTTTAAAAAAATCCATGAGTGAATCCTCCACCCCCCCACCCCCAACTTCTTTCAGGGTCTAGAACAAAGCCTGGGCTAAACTGGCCAGCCAGTGGATTGGTTGACAGTCTTTAAGCAGAGCCCTTTTCCTATTCTCTTCCTAGACTGTGATCCTCTGGACCAGAATAGGGGAGTCATCTTACCTTCATATTCTCCCACAGCATTAGCTTCTGGCTTTTCAAATGGCATATGCCCTCTGAAAGATTCGCTGAATTAAACTGAATATAAGCCTGACCTTGCCAGAAAGCACTAGATTCCATGATCAAGTCCTTGACATTCATGGTGGGCAAAGACCCATAACCCTCAGGTTCCCAAATATGGCAAGAATGACATCTTCAGACAGAAAGGTACTCTCTGGACAATATCCAGTTACCCACAAACCCCCTCAAAGGGTCTGTGGCAAACACTGACTGCTAATCACACACCCAATATCCCTTCTCTCACCTTCCAAATTTTACTACCTTCATGCCTGCCTAGTCTGAATGTGACCATGTGACTAAGCTCTGGCCAATGAGAGCTAAGAAGTATCTTGCACTAATTTGAGAAGTCTGCTTAAAAAGGAATGCAATATGACTTATCTCTTTCCTGCTGGTTAGCATTCTAGGAAGTTTCTTGGGCTGTAAGAATGAGGAGTGTAGCTTATGTAAGGCAGTAGAGTAAATGGAAAGAAACCTGAGAGTCTGATGATAATCACTGGAGCAGCCCTGGGCTAGCTATCTGCACATTTCTTTAATGATGGCAAAATGTTTTAGTTATGTTTAAGCCTTAAGTCAAAGATTAAGTCAAAAAATTTTCAGAGTCAAACCCAAACCTTAACGTTCACAAATGCTAGAACCTAAAGGATCTATCTCTCTGTTAGTTCAGAACTAGACTGGCATCAAAAAGTAAAAGCAGCAAGTGAGGGCAGTATTTGTTAGGGCCACTTGGCAGGGACTAGTACAAGTTCCAGCTCAATACCATCCCATCTCAGCAGCCCTCAAAGAGCTCAGCTCTATTAATAATTCTATTCACATGGCCCTTCTAGCCCATCTCCTCAAATGGTCTCACACAATCAAGCTGCACTTCCTCTGAAGGGTTTTCACCCTTCAGGGTTTTACTTAACTTCAAAGTTCAGTTTTCCTCAAAGTCAGTCTTTACCCCAGTAGGCATTCCTACAACAAACATGATATTCCCCAAGGTCTATCCCATCTGTTCTTGCCATCCAACACTGAAAACACAATTTAATCATGGCTTCTTGCCCATTCTGGGCTTTTCCCGCTTGGTCATGTTCCAACTTCCAGGTAGCTCTTCCTCACTGTCCATCTGATGATACAGTAGAGAAATAATGAAAACAAGAGCCAGAATCCAGGTAACTCATGACTCATTATATAACTCTGAGCTGGTCACACTTTTCTTAGCCTATATTTTCCCCATTATAGAAAAAAGAGAGCCAGAAACAAAGACAGAGATGACAAAAGAGAAAGGATTCTGAAATAAAAACTATCAAATACCCTTGCACTTTGCCTAAGGCCCTGTGAGTCTCCACCCTCTCCGTAGAAGTGTCCTCATAAACTACCAGCACCCTCCCCAGTGGGCCCCCCACTTCACTCCTCACCCTCATTATTTGTCAATAACTCCTTAGTTTTACTGAGAAGAGCTGCAGTCCATCTAGTTCTTTGCACAGTAGTGACTCAGTTCGGGGACAGACAGGATATGTGTCAAATTTGGTAAGACGTCCTCAGGCTCTGGGCTCCTTCCAGAGTTTCTAAGTATGAGGGAAAGTCTACTCAGACTTGATTTTGCACTGGGGAAAGAGAAAACTGTACCTGCTCAATGTGTCCCCGATGTCCTATAAGAGAAAGGAAAATGAAAACCATGAGAAATCATTTATAATGTCAGTTTTCTCTCATAGATGTTTGTTAGAAACTGAACTACAGGCTGGCAATCCTAGGAGAAGCCACGGAGACAAGGAGCACACACTGTGTAAAACCTGGGCAGAGGAAACTGGGATACACACTATTTGCTATTCCAGCACCTTCCTGCATTCCCTCCCTGCACACTGGTCAACGATCTCAAGATTTCAAATTTGCTAACTCAAGCATCTCACTCTTGGGACCACAACTGCCTACCTAGCTTGCTTTCTTTGACCTATTACTGGGTGTGTGTGTGTGCTCAGTTGCTTCAGTCGTGTCTGACTTTTTGCAACCCTATGGACTGTAGCCTGCCAGGCTCCCCTGTCCATGGAATTCTCCAGGCAAGAATACTGGAGTGGGTTGCCATTTCCTCCTCCAGGGGATCTTCCCAACCCAGAGATCGAACCCATGTCTCTTGCACAGGCAAGCAGATTTTTTACCACTGAGCTACCAGGGGAGACCCCGATATTGCCTTAATACAGGCTAATTATTTTTAAAATATCTCTCCACTTGGGTTTCCCAGGTATTGCCCCATGAGTAAATTCAGGCTTACATTGTGTCTCCTTCTAAAAATACTTGTTATTCACTTTCCCTTTATTGGTGGTATGTTATAGCTACTATTTTTCCTTTTGTAATTAAAAAGTAATCTCAAAGTGACACTTTGAAATTAATATTCCAGCCCTTATCGAACTCCCCCTCAGATTTCGCATCTGTAGATAATTACTGTCTAAATTACCTTTCACTATGATAGCTGCCAAATGATCACTTTCTTGCCTCAAAATTCCTTGTACATTACTTAGTTGACAAGTCTACTGGAAGGAAAAATTTTCCCTTATTTATTATTAGTATGGACCCATCAATTCCTACTTTATTCAATGGGTTATAACTCATCACTATGCTTAATTATTTCGGTGCTCAAAAAATCTGAGACTTGGTCAGAGAATCTGTCACTTTTTTCCTATCTCTTCTCATCCCATTCTATTATCTGGTTTATCATTCCAGTGTTTCCCTTGCAAATACCTGCAGATACATGTATTTTCTAATTATCTCTTCCTTCTTACACAAAAAGCATAATCTATGTTTTGCACTTTGATTTACTTTTCAAATGACTTCTACCATGACCACTCTCCCCCGTGGAGTCCAAAACTTGCCCTCTTCTTTCTCGGCTTTTCTTTATCATCCAGTTTTGATTTCATGGTCCATATGTTCAGAAATATTCTCACAAATACCTTAAAAAAATAAGCAAACCCATGGTTGCCACTGGGTAGAAAGGGATGAGGAGTGACTGTTTAATGGGTACCAGGTCTCCTCCTGAGATGATCAATGTGTTCTGGAACTATACAGCTGTGATGGTTGCATAACATTAAGTTTACCAAATGTACCAAGTTGTACGTTTTGAAATAGTTAAAACGGTTAATTTAAGTTATGTATATTTTATCATAATCAAAAAGCCAGAACAGGGGGACTTCCCTGACCGGTTCAGTGGTTAGGATTTTGTGCTTTCACTGCCATGGGCCCAGGTTCAATCCCTGGTCAAGGAACTTAGATCCTACAAGTAGTGTGGCAAGGCCAAAAACAAAACAAAAACACCCTCACATCTTGCAAAGCCCTAATCCTGGATGAACCCAACTACCGGCTTTCCCTAGGCCTGGAACCAGAACAGTCACAATCAGAAAAAGCAAAGCCGGGACGGGAAAAAGTCACACAACTGGACAAATTCTGATATAAACTGACATTCACTGACCAAATAACTCGACTACGTCTTGCAAACCAATTTGCTTTCCCATACTATGAAACAATAATTTCAGAACTTTCCCACAATCCTCAAACTCATTATTTTCTCCAACCCCTGCTCAATGGCAGCAGATGGTGCCGTTTTCCAACTTCAAAAGAGGATAGAAGCCAAGACGTTTTTGCTACCAAACCTCACAACCTGCTGCATCTACCTGTCCTCACCCTCCTTTCTTCTTATACAACAGAGGATATTTCAAAGCTAAGTCCCACCTACATGCTTCAGTTACCCTTCCTTCTGCCTTTTCAGAAACAGCACATCAGAGATGAGTTCATCCTTAGAGCTTCAGTAAATTTTCTTCACCTGAGTCTTTACAACAGACGCTCCTCTCCATATTTTTTTAAAAGATATGTTTAACTGCTTTCTTTAAGCATCCTCTCCCCATAAAGCTCCACAATTCTACCTCATCTCCAAGTATTTTCTTTATATCTCTTTCACAGCCTTATTTATTGAAATAGTCATTTACTCTCGCAGCTTCCATTCACTCTGTCACTACCGCTTCTCCTCACGTGGCTCCTGCCCAGATTGCTCCACTCGGGCAGCTGTACACCAAGTTTATCAAGGATGCTCATGTTTTTAAACCAAATGGATCTCAGCCTTCATATTATTTCACCTCAACTGCATTAGACTCTTGTTGTCCACTCCCTCCTTCCAGAAACATTCTTCCTCCCTGATCACATACTGCCTCTCTGGTAAACTGTACCCCCTGCCAGCTCTTCCTTCTCTCTCTGGCAATTAAACATTGGTGTTGCATTAAGGCTCAAGATTAAGCCTTCTCTTTTTAATCTGAAGTAGGAGTTGGTGAACTTTTTCTAAGAAAAAGGCCATACAGTCTCTGGCACAACAGATAATACAAAATAAATAAATGGGCGTGGCTATGTTCCAATAAAAATGCATGGACAATGAAGCTTGAATTTTATGCAATTTCACATATCACAAAATAACAAGCGTTCTTCTGATTTTTCTTCTCCAACTATTCAAAACTAAAAAGCACAATGAGCTCGCAGGACACACAAACACAGGTGGTGGGCCATAGTTATCTTGACCCTAAACCCATCAGCCCTTTTTTAATGGCAACACTGATGATACTTGTTTTGTTCACTTCTTTATTGAGATTACCATATAATCTCAACATCAGAATTTAAATTTCAGGAGAGCTTATTTATCCACTTAGTTCCAGTGCTTGACACAGAACAGAAAATTCATATGCATTGAATAAACAAACAGACAAAAATCGGCTCACTTCCTGTGGTCTTGCTGGGCTGGGTCTATTGCAGCTTTATCACCCGTACAACCAAAATTAAACCCCAAGACTGCTTGGGCTGACCACTTCCTGTGGTACTTGTTATTTTGTGGTTGTCGTAGCGTGCACATACATGTTACAATTATAGGATACTGGGGTGAGGAGAATCTTTAAATGACATGTGGGCCAAATTCCTCATTACATGAGTAACTGAGGCCTAGAGAGGTCAAGAGCCTCGCCTGTGATCAGACCGCTTATCAGTGTAGGACAGGCTTGAGCAGGACAGGTCTTCCTCTTGAGCTTTCCACGACACAGTGCAACTGACTGACCCAAGTTGTGCCAACCGGGCCTCTATTGTACATTTCCCTTCCAACATGCCCTTGCTACAATCAGAGTTTCAACAAGGGAGTAGGGGGCCCTGGATACTGCTTGGCAGAGCAGGAGCTGTCTTGGCAGGGGGCTTTCGGTCTTACCTGCAGGAGCTCCCTGGTGGGTTGCTGCTGTTTCTCTTCCAGCTGGGCGATCAGGTTGCTGAGGTGGGAGATGTTGCAAGAGAACTGAGTGATGGCACCATTGATACTGTTGTAGATAGCCAAGTCTAGTTCCTCGAGACGGGCCAAAAGGCGATACTCATGCTCCTTCAAGGAGTGATACAGCTGCTCAAACTCCCAAACAATCTTCTCCCTCTCCATCTGGGTCAGGCTCTGTGTACACCACAGGGAAGAGCAGTGAAGAGAGGAAAAGCTGCTTCTAGAGCCCTTCACATTTCTCCCCTGTCTATCTACCCCAAGACTTCATTATTTCATCCCAGTATACTAAAACAAGAATCTTGTTCACTCACTTATTTTTTTTCCAGTCTTTATTGACTGGATATACAATGGCAGAGAACTGAATTACCCCAGTGATAATCAAGACAGTCTAAAAAAAAAAAAAGCCACAGTCTCTGCTCTCAAGGAACTCAGTCAAGTGAGAGTCAGGTTCATGTGATACATGTCATCATGGCTAGATAAGCAAAAGTAGGGTGACTGCATTCAATAGAAGTTGATACAGTTCCCAGAAGCAGTGTTCACAGAGTATTGTAGGATGAACAGAAGTTCACTTTATGGTCAAAGAACAGGAGAGCTTTCCAGACAGAAGAAATGTCACGGACCAAGGAGTGAGAAGGCAAATGATGGGGTCTGGCTGGAACACATAAGTGCTTGTGAAGACGGCAGATAAAGTAAGAGACGAGAAGCCTGGCAGGACTTTACTGCAAGTAGGAGCCATGAAAGACTGTCAGAGAAGTCACACAATGAGATGGGTGCCTTGTGGAGGATGGTTTGGAACATACAAGCAAAACTTCTACAACAATCCTCACATAATAACCTTGATTAGTTTCCTTAAACTTTTCACATGTAATCCATTCCCTCTATCTGGCCTTCTGTCTCACTGGCTTTGAGCATAATTCTCTACTGGCTCAGTTTTTTTGCCAAAGGTTATCTGTCCTTCCTTCTCCACCACTTGTCCCACTGAGGGACTCCATAAAAGCTTGTTTCTGAATAAAGAGTCAGCAAACTCCCATGTTTACTCCCTTGGAGTAACATGTTATTGGGAAACAGATCACTCATTTAAATGTTGTCTTTAGCTGCTTTTGAACTACGACAAGGGAGCTGACTGATTATGATAAAGATATGGGTCACAAAGCCAAAAATATTTACTCTCTAGTCCTTTACAGAAAGGTAAGGGACTATTTTTTCCAGAACAACCACCCTCTCCCCCAAATATCCCTACCACAAAGGCCTTGGGAAACTAGGGGAAGGGAACAAAGAGAAAAGTTCAGAATAGAATCATTGCCAAGAAGAAGAACATTCCAGCAAGAAGCAAGTTCGAAGTTTATAGAAAGCCACTGTCAGCATCTGTCTGTAGAACGATACAAAAGGCCGCTAACCAAGGCCCAAGAATTTCACCTGGCTCAACCCTGATCTGCACAAAGCTCGCAGATTAAACTGTTGCTAGGTCAGATCTCCAGGGGTTTTAAAGTCGACTATTCCATCCTTTTCCCCCCAAATGTGGGAATCCCTTGCTTCTCCAGGTGAATTCCCAACTGCCATGTAAGGTTGTTCCACCCACACCTAGAAGTTCTGGGTGATATGACTGCACAGGTTAAGGGAAGTTTACAAGTCTTACAATATGAGAGAGTGACCAGCAGAACTGATATTAACTGTGAATTCCCAGGAACCTCACCAAGAGTTCAGCTCGAGCCTGCTCTCCCTGTGCCCGTCGCCTCTTCTTTAAGTCTTTCACTCTTTTTAAGTGGTCCAGCTGGTTCTGGATTTGCTCCTGAAAAAGCAAAAACAGGTGTACAGTTCAAGATAAGGCAGGCCTCAGCAGTGTGACTCTTCTGCTTATCACCTGTGCAACCCACATTCGTGATGCTAAGTTCTTGGTGATAGCCTGTCCTTGGATCACACTGCCATCACCGTGACACACCTCTCCTTTGGTAGTTTATATCTTAAATGGTGGGTCACCTACCTGCCTTTGGAAGGATACCGCATGGCTTAGTGGAAAGGTGAATGGACTAGAAGGCTTTAGTTGTCGAGCTTTCAGGGACGTGTATGGAGAAAAGGACTTAACTTCTATTTCCCCCTGGTATGACATAAGCCAACACCACCTTCTCAACCTACTAGAATGTTACCACCAGTGTGAGTAAAATGGTATTTTTGAAAGCACCATAAATGTTCAGTGAATAATTTTGCATGAAAGTACTCACATTTACACATGTACATAATTGTGTGCATGTTCTTGCAGTCCTCAAACACAGATTATGTGCACGCCTTGAATGTTGACTTACAACTGTTTTATATTTAATACTTTATTTCCATGTTATTGTTGAGCTGTGCCAATCTGTTGGTTCACAAGGGGATCCACACAGCATTTTATTTCACTCAGTCTTCATAAGTCTTATCTCCTATGAGTCTCACAGTGGTTAAATGACTTAGGCAGTAAGGAACTTGTTCTTTTCCGGGAGGTTCTAGAAGAGGACGGAGCATAGGGAAGTGTTGGGGGAAAGGAGAGGTGATGGGCACCTATTTGATGTGAATACAGCCTGGCAACGTCCGACTGTGTTTTGTCTGAGATCATCTAGGAGCCAGAAGGAACGCGAGCGTCTCTGAAGCTTGTCGCTGCGTACGCGGTTTTACAAATATCTTATATACGGTCAAGAAGGGTCTCCATGGGCCGTCATGTATGATATGCCCGTGAGAGGGTAAACACAGAGGCACATAAGGCAATGAGGGTGGGGAGACTTCTGGCTTCCTCACCAGCTACAGGTTTTCCTCCCAAATCTGAGTGCCGAGGCTCTGGAGCGGACAGAGGAAATGACGGCTGTGAACCACACGTCCGGCTCAGCCATTTTCTAGGCGGAAAAAAGGAAGCCCCTTTGGCTCTCTCCTCCCTTTGTCCGACTCGCGCTCCGGCCCCTCCCCGGCCCGCGCGCCCGGCCCTCACCTTGAAGCCCTCCACCGCCTCCTCGAGCGGCAGCACGCTGTGGCCGCGGTGCTCGCGGGAGCGGTCGCACACCACACAGATGGGCATCTGGTCCTCCTCGCAGTACAGCTTCAGAGGCTCGCGGTGTTTCTCGCACACGCCCATCTCGCCTCCGGGCCCCGACGGCCGTTCGGTGCGCAACTGCTTCACCAGCTGGGTCACGTTGGCCAGGTGCCGGTTGGGCCGCATGTGCCGCTGCGGGAAGGTCTCCCGGCACTGCGGACACGACACATTGGTCTCCGCCGCGCCCCAGCAGCGGGCGAGGCAGGCGCAACAGATGTTGTGGCCGCAGTCGAGCATCATGGGCTCCACAAAGTACTGCAGGCACACGGGGCAAGTGGTCTCCTGCTGTAAGCACTCGGCCACGCTCCCGGAGGCCATGGCGCGGGCCCGCGGGGGCGAACGGGCATGGGCCCCGGTGCCCAGCCCAGCGCGGAGCCCAACTCGACTGCGCTCCCTCCCGTCCGCTGTTTCTGGGCGGTGCGGAAAGGCCAGCCGGGCTGACTGAGGGCGACGCCTCCCGGGCCGATCCCAGACGCGCCCGCGCGCTGGAACCGCGGGGTGGCCGGGCCGCTCCCTGAGCCGCTGCGCCTGGCGGAGGGAGTATGGGGATACCGCGGGCCCACCGAGCCCAGCGGCTATGCGAACGGACAGCAAGATCGCCGCCGATCAGACTCCCGGAGCCGGACGCTCAGAACACGCAGGACAACGTGGCCGCGTCCGAGCGGATCCCGGCGGCCGCGCAGACCCCACCCCTGCGCGAGCGGAAGGGGCGGCTCGGGGGCGGGGCTTGGGCCGGACCTCCTGCGTGAGGCTGGAAATCCCGGCCTCAGGCCTGGACCGTTTGTTTCGCTGGGAACCCGGGAGGCCTCGCCGCTAGGGAGAGGGCGGAACGCGCGGGCGGAAGCTCCTTGGGTACGGGTCCTAGAGGCCGGCAGTGTCCGCGGGTGCGGCTGGGCCTGGGCGACCCCTGCCTGCACGCTCCGGACGACCCCGCAGAGCCTTGGGCCTTGGGCCTGGATCCCGGGTCTTTTGTTGGGTTTCCTCTCTGGTGCTCAGGCCTCTGCCGCGGCGAGAGAAAGCTAGCTTTGTGTTGGTGTGGGAAGGAGAGACATCTGGCTTCCCCGGTAGGCCGGAGGGCTGAGGGTAGCCGACTGAGCCCCACCCAGTCTGCGAGGAACTTTATCAAACAACCCCATTGACAGGCGCTCGCAGTTCTGTTTCGTAAAAGAAAGGCTTAATTATTAGATGAAAACATTTCTGTGACAGAAACAGGCAAGCCCAGTTCTGCTACTTCCTACTGTGCCTAAGCAAAGTGGTCTACCATTCTGAGCTTCAGTTTCCTCTCTGGTGAAATGGGAGTGATTGTACCCAGCGAAGAGGGAGACTTCCGTACAACTTTGGATTTTTTAACCCTAAGGAGGTTTACCATTAAAATAATAAAATACCCACTGCCTAGATCTGTACTGAATAGAACTTAAACATGCTTGCTCAACCTACTGCATAGAGCTGTATTGAGTAGAACCTAAACAGGCTTGCTCCTTCCAAAATATAGGGGGGATGATAATCCTGTGGGTAATACAGGCTGTTTTCATTATCCAACAAACAAAATTTTTGCGTTGTTCGCCCATCCCTACTTTGGTGTTTCCTGTTTTCCTTTGCTATTTTCTCGATATTGTCCTTCATCCTCTAAATTTTATTGAATTTGGACAGCCTTGCCTGTGTTTAATTTCCATTATTGTATTTTGAACTAAGTGATTTCAACAATGTCAGTTTACAAATCTTTTTTAAATGAGTTAGTAACTGGTTGAATGTGACCTATTCCACCAGGTTCCCTGTTTGTACTTCTTTCTCTCTAACCTATTTACACAATGCTTCAAAGAAACTGAGATCAGATACCTCAGTAACTCTGTGAGGACAGAGACGTCTCTCCAGACCTCCTGGATTGCTGTTATGCCCTGTATATAATTATAATGAGAGGATTTCAACATTTATTGGATTATTAGACTAAAAATTAACTTAATGATTCCAGGGTCAAATTCTATGCATACTTTTTATCGTTATCACAGTTGTTCAGTTGCTAAGTCATGGACTTGGTTCAATGCCATGGACTTCAGCACACCTGGTTTCCCTTTCCTTCAGTATCTCCTGGAGTTTGCTCAAATTCACGTCCATTGAGTCGGTAATGCCATTCAATCATCTCATCCTCTGTTGGCCCCTTCTCTTGCCCTCAATCTTGCCCAGCATCAGGTCTCTTCCAGTGAGTCAGCTCTTCGCATCAAATGGCCGAAGTACTGGAGCTTCAGCTTCACCATCAGTCTTTCCAGTGAATATTCAGGATTGATTTCCTTTAGGATTGACTGGTTTGATCTCCTTGCAGTCCAAGGGACTCTCAAGAGTCTTCCCCAGCACCACAGTTCAAAAGCATCAGTTCTTCCTGTAGTTCAGTTCAGTTCAGTTCAGTCGCTCAGTGGTGTGTGACTCTTTGCGACCCCATGGACTGCAGCACACCAGGCCTCCCTGTTCATCACCAACTCCCGGAGTTTACTCAAACTCATGTCCATTGAGTTGGTAAGAGCATTAATAAGTAAACTATTGGGATGGTATTGGCAAACTGTAAGAGAATCTGATTTGGAATGTTTAGGAGTGAATACGTGGAAGAAAATTTGGATGGACAGTACTGATAAATTTGGTTAGATAAAGTCATGAAAACAAAGCAATGGTGATAAAATTGCTTGTGGAGGATAGACTCTGTGTCTGGGAGGAGGGAGGAGGTTCCATTGATGCTTTGCGAACACAGGAGTGACAAATTGATGGTGCAGGTCATAGTAAGGCAATACCAACTAGGCGGACCCATCTAGAGACTAATGCAATAGCGACACAAGAGGACATTAGAATAAGAGCTGATAGGAACAGAGGAATGGGCAGGTGGGCTAGAAAAGAATCAGGATATGCAGTGCCATTCTCAGTTATTTCTAAGGAAAATGAAGGTGAAACAGGCAAGGAGGAGAGAGGCATCTTAAGACAGAGCAATAAAGAAGTATGTAGTAGTGAAATATGCAGAAAAGAGAAAGGAGAGTAAGACATTTGATAAAGGAGAGGGATTTGGGGGTAGAGGATGAGTTGGAAGATTGGGATTGACATATATACATCATTGATTCTGTGTGGAAAATAGATAATTAGTGAGAACCTACTGTATAGCACAGGGAACTCTGCTCAATACTCTGTGGTGACCTAGATGGGAAGGAAATTTAAAAAAAAAGAGAGGATATATGTACATGTACAGCTGATTCACTTTGCTGTACAGTAGAAACTAACACATTCCATGGACTGAGGAGCCTGGTAGGCTGCAGTCCATGGGGTCGCTAAGAGTCGGACACGACTGAGCGACTTCACTTTCACTTTTCACTTTCATGCTTTGGAGAAGGCAATGGCAACCCATTCCAGTGTTCTTGCCTGGAGAATCCCAGGGACGGGGGAACCTGGTGGGCTGCCCTCTATGAGGTTGCACAGAGTCGGACATGACTGAAGCGACTTAGCAGCAGCAGCAGCAGAAACTAACATGACATTGGAAAGCAGCTATACTCCAATAAAAACTTAGAAAAGAAAGAAAGAGGGATTTGCTTGCACTTTGGAAAGAGATAGAAGTTCTCCTTTTCAACAAGTGTGGCTTTGTGGTTTTCTGACCATCTCCAGAAACCCCACCAAAAGAGAACCCACAGGGCAAACTCTCAGAATGGACTACTATGGACCTAAAGGAAGACTGTGGGGGGGGGGTGTGTGTGTGGAAATTCAGGAAATTTTTAAAGAATAATTGATTTGTGCCAGTTCTTCCTCTTATTCTTCCAGGTTGAAGGGGAAGGAGAGGTGAGTTTTTCATTTAATAAGTACCTATTAATAAGTTATTATATATTGCTCTCTGTTCATTAAAGCACAAAATCTTTCTAGATCCTGGAAGGTGATGCTAGTATCATGATCTTCATTTTATGACTGGGGAAATTGTCAACTAAATTGTCTAAGGTCACAGAGTCAGTGAATGATAGAGCCAGGACTGGAATCTGGGTAGACCAGCTCCAGAGAGTAAGTTCTAACCATTACAATATGTGTCCTCTCTAGCTGTCCCAGGTATCTGCTAGACAATTAAAAAAATAAAAAATCAAATACCAGTATTGCTGTCATTTAGTTCTTTTAACAACATTCCCTGGTGTAGGTTATGGCTTTTAACAACCAGTGTGAAGGGTCCTAGATTAAAGAGCAATCTAAGACAAGATATAGGATAGGAGGATTCAAGGCATACTCAGGTAATGCTGATACTGAAAAATGTGATTCCTCTAGTCTTTTTTTTTTTTGGCCATGCCCTGATGTGCAGCTTGTCGGATCTTGGTTCCCAGACCTGGCATTGAAAACATCAAGTCCTAATCACTGGACCACCAGGGAATTCTCTAAATATGATTTCTTTTTGAGTTGGCAATTAGCTTCCCCAAACTTAACTGTCTTCCATTTCCTGAGGATAAAATCTTTGGAGACATTGGGGAAGAAAGCTAATCTGACCCATTTTTTTCAACCAGCAAGACTTTGGGGGATTTCATTGAATGATTGGTAAATACCCTCTGATTCCTGCCCTTATTAAGCTCACAGGCCACTGGGGCTAGGTGAGGGCAGGGATGGTTAGCTACCTCCAAGAGGGTCACCATCAGTTTCCTCTCCATAGTGACACTGTATCATTGAGAGGTACAGTTCTATTCTTCTCTTGAATTTGGACTTGCCTAGAATGCTCTGACCCATAGAGTATGGCAGAATGACTCTACATGATGCTGGGCCTGGCCTACAGAGGACTGACATCCTCTGTCTTGGACCCTTAAGGGTCTTCAGCTACCATGGAAGATGTTTTTATTAGTGTGCTCTGGCTTCTGTAACAAAACATCAGCCTGTGTGGTTCAAACAACAGAAATTAATTTTTTCAGTATATTTTCTGGAGAGTGGAAGTTCAAGGTCAAGGTATGAGCAAGGGCAATTTCTCCTAAGGTCCCTCTCCTTGGCTTGTAAACAGTCACCTTCTTCTGGTTTTCACACAACCTTTCCTCTGTGCTCACTTTTCTAATGGTGTGGTTTTTTGTTTTTTGATTGGGTTAAGTGGCTTTATTAGAGAAAGCCAGGATTACAAAGGACTTGAGAGTTGGCCTTGGGGCCTTTCTTCTTGCCAAAGGTGGGAACAATATTGACACAGCTCTGGTTATACTGCATATACCTCTTGGCCTAGCCCATCTTCTTTTTCTCCTGTTTGGCCGCTGTGGAATTCTGACCCAGCATCAGCCAGGGACCATGGACTTCACCTCTAAGCATGTGGCCGGCTACTTGTTGAGTGCTCAGAGTCTCCACCC